AGAGACAGTGTCCAGGCCCCAAGTTCAAGCCTGAGTACTAGCATAATAAAGAATTTCATTATAGTATTCTACTTCAAAACTATGCACAAAAGTTTATCCACCAGTTTATATGGTTCCTCCAAACAACTGGACAGGCTGCATGCCTCCTGCTTAAGTTGGAATAATTAACGAAAAATCTATTGATCTAAAGCATTACATTAACATGCTAAAGGGGGGTATTATATCTATGGCCAGGAAGTCTTTCTGCCAAGAAGCCATCTGTCTCCCTGTTCTTCCTACCCTACACTTAATTCTGTTACTACAGTCTGTATGTGAGTCTATTGTGTGAGATAAAAATCTGTGCTCTCACTTGGAGGAATACATAAACTGAATGCTTACATATCTGTTTAATGTAAATAATTGATCCCAGCTCTACTCCTGCTTAAAGAACAGTGGCTCAGTGGTAGAGTGCTTGCCTGGCATGCACAAGGCCCTGGGTTCAACTCCTCAGCACCACATAAGCAGAAAAAGCCAGAAGTGGTGCTGCGGCTCAAGTGGTAGAGTGCTAGCCTTGAGCTGAAGAGCTGAGGGACAGTGCCCAGGCCCAGGGTTTAGGGCCCCACGACCGACAAAAACAAAAAACAAAACAAAACAAAACAAAAAAAACAGTGCTAGAAATAAGTAACACTATTTTGGGACTCTTTTGATAGGGTGATAGCGGTGGACCATTAATGTGCTACTTACCAGAATACAAGAGGTTTTTTGTCATGGGAATTACCAGTTATGGACATGGCTGTGGCCGAAGATATTTTCCTGGTATCTACTGTGGGCCATCCTTCTACCAACAGTGGCTGACACACCAGTTCTCCCAGGCAAGCACTAAAGACACCTTTCAGATCCTTGTTCTATTAGGATCTATCATCTTTCTAGCAGCAACATGAAGACATTCTGAAGCCTTTGCTATTTTTATTTTATATGGTGTCCCTTTTTCTATTCTACATAATGAACATATTCTTTGTAGCAACTAATTGCTTACTTTAGATGTCTCATGTGAATATCATTTAGAAAAACAATTATAGATACTATTGTAAATTTGGCACTTTGGCCTCTTTGAAAGAACTTGATGGTTCTAGTTTATAAATATAACTCTGTATTTAGAATACGTTCCTAGAGTTTATGCAACATATTCAGTTAAATATGTATTTTATGCAAATAAATGATAATTAAGAGTTTATTATCAAAATGAAATTGTTCAAACGAGGTTGAATTCTGTCAAAATAGATTGCTTGTAACTATGAAGCTGAAACAAGGAAAACTGTTGGGAAGGCTATTTTTTTGTGGGGGAAGGAGTGTGATAAGAGGGGGTGATCGCATTAGCTAGCTAGAATTACTCAATGTCAGGCCCTGCTGCTAGACCTTCCTGGTATGCAGTTCAACAAAACCCAGGCAGTAAATCCAGCCAGCCTCCTGCCAGATGACAACCCACTGTGCCTTTTTTTTTTTTGTCTGTTGTGAGGCATGAACTCTGGGCCTGGGCGCTGTCCCTGCACTCTTCAGCTCAAGGCAAGTGCTCTACCACTTGAGCCACAGCACCACTTCTGGTTTTCTAGAGGTTTATTGGAGATAAGAGTCTCACGGAGTTTCCCCACCAGGCTGGCTTTGAACCGTGATCCTCAGCCTCCTGAGTAGCTAGGATTATAGGCGGGAGTCACCTGCGCCCGGCCCCCCACTGTGCTAAACATGACTGTTTAGATGTGATGGACTTGACTCACACTATTTGTCCTAATTTGACTGACATTCCACTGGAGGAACCAGAGGCAGTGCTCTGCACCCATGGCAGTAGCTTTGTGAAGGAGGGGGTAAGTCACGCAGGAGCTATGGTGGTGACTTTAAGTCATTTGGGTTCAAGCCTTTCCCCATGGAACCTCTGCTCAACAGGAAGAATTACTTGCTCTGACAGGCCCTTTGGAGGGCAAAGGCTAAAGCTGTGACCATCTACACAGACAGTAGATATGCCTTTGCCATAGCCCACAAGCACACGGCCATCTCTAAAAAAGCCGGAAGTAGCACTGTGACTGAACTGATAGAGTGCTAGCCTTGAGCAAAAGCAGCTCAGGGACAGAGCCCAGGCTCTGAGTTCAAGCCCCAGGACTCTAAATTAAAAAAAAAAAAGTCTCCTAGTTCTCATTGACATTGTTTCAGGGTGGGTAGAGGAATTTCTCAAAGCAGGCAACAATGTTGTGATGAAAAGTTCTTACATGAAATTATACCCTGCTTTAGCTTGCATTTAACCTTAGGCTCTGATAATGGTCTGTCTTTTATATCAAAAAATTTCCAACAGGTGAGAAAAGTCTTAAACATTAATGGAAAACACTGATTGTACCTATTGGCCTCAAATTTCAGGGCAAGTTGATCAGATGAATCAAACTCTTAAGGAAACCTTCACTAAATTAATTTTAGAGATTGGTGAAATTTGGGCCAATCTTTTACCCTTGGTTCTATTAAAAACTGCATGTACTCCCTACAGGGTAATGTTTGGAAGCCCCCCTCCCTTATTCCCCGGGATCCTCTCTGAAACACTGGCTAAACAATGCTTCCTTAAGGCAACTCAGCAGGAGGTTCCTAAACAGGTCCTGGAGACAGTGCCACAGCCTGTCCCTAACCTCACCATTACAGGCTTATGGCAAGGGGTTGAGTTCCAACTTGACCTCTGTGACCTTTTTGAAGAAATAATTCCTCTTAGACAGAAGCCTAACCATTCCCATGGGGGAAGGGGAGAGGGTGCAGGTAGCGGCCGATGGCTCTGAGTCAGTGGACAAAAGCCTACAGACATTACATCTGTCCAGGGCCAGGAAAGCTTAATATTTAATGTGCAAATTCAGGAGAGTTCTTTTGTCCCTGGTGGGGTTGTGACACCATCTCCAGCATACATGGGTACAAGGAGACCTCTACCTTCAAGTCTGGCATCTTACCTACCCTTCATCATGCCAGGCAGGAAAATGCAACCCTTTACAATTTAGGCCAAGGAATACCCAGGATTCTTCTGGCAGACTGGGCAGACCTGGGGAATTAGACTATACCTAACAGGAAGGGACCATGACACCCTATTTGCTATTCAAGAATGTGCATACACCCACCGGCTCCCAAAATGGCTTATAGGCCCACCGGCTGATCTTGATCTGGCCTTTTGGTTTTTTTTTGCTAGTCCTAGAGTTTGAATTCAGGGCCTGGGCACTGTCCCTGAGGTTCTACTCAACACCAGCACTCTACCACTTCAGCCACAGCGCCACTTCTGGCTTTTTTTATATGGTACTGAGGAATCGAACGCAGGGCGCTGGACAAGCATTTTACCACTAAGCCCCAGGAGAGCCTTTCTATAGTGAGACAAAACAGAAATGAGGGGGAAGAGTTTGGAAATTTTCCAGAATTGGTTCTAAAAATTGTTTAGTTGGTCCTCAGTTCTACAGCCATGGGGCCCTTAATTTTACTTCTTCTGGGTCTCACTGTAGGCCCATGCCTTCTCAATTGTTTTATAAACTTTGTTCAAAATCATATCAGCTTGGTAAAGCTCATGATCATAAGGGCCCAGTAAAGCCCTCTTCCCTGAAGAATCAATTATTTGATGCCAGGTACATAAAATCAGTGGGGAACGACATAGGTGGATGCTGGGCCTAAGCAATGCCATCTTGTCTCCACTGCTATCTTAACATCTTAATAGGTAACAGGGATATATCACTCAATTCTGAGAACTATAGATAGGGCATAGATCGTTCCAAGATCTGCAGATATGTCATGGGTTCTTAGACTCCAGGAAGGTTCCTGGAGTCTACTTTACCAGATTGTCTCCCCAGTAACCTCTAGCAAACTCTAACTCCCCTCCTTAGTTAACCTATAACTAGCTTGTTTTGCTTCTCATGCTTTGCTAGTCTCTATACCATGGGGGAATCTGCCTTGATATGGCTTTTGCCTATAAAGGCTTTATGGCTTTTGCCTATAAAGGCTTTATGCTAACATTTGGTACTGTAGGTTTTTTGGGACACTAGTCTGCCAGCACTCATTAGCTTTCTATTAAAGACTCCTGATTTAGCCGGGTGCTGGTGGCTCACGCCTGTAATCCTAGCTACTCAGGAGGCTGAGATCTGAGGATCGCGGTTCAAAGCCAGCCCGGGCAGGAGAGACCGTGAGACTCCTATCTCCAATAAACCACCAGAAAACCGGAAGTGGCGCTGTAGCTCAAGTGGTAGAGCGCTCGCTTTGAGCTGAAGAGCTGAGGGACAGCGCCCAGGCCCAGAGTTCAAGCCCCACGACCGAAAAAAAAAAAAAAAAAAAGACTCCTGATTTGACCTGATAAAATTTGGCTTCTCTATATCTCACTGATCGAATTCCCATATAACACTATGGCCTGAAGTAAAGCCCCAGGACCAGTGCATGCATTCACACACAAGAATGACAATCCTTCTCCCCCACAAGAAACCATTTTTCAGGTCAGCATTTGGTATTAGATCTTACCCTCATACTAAAGTCACAAGTCCACTATGAGAAAACTACAAGTCAATAAAAATATATGCAAGGTCCAGCACCGGTGGCTCACGCCTGTAATCCTAGCTACTCAGGTTCAAAGCCAGCCCAAGGCAGGAAGGTCCATAAGACTCTTTCTTTTTTTTTTTTTTTTGGGTCCGGGTCATAGGGCCTAAACTCTGGGCCTGGGTGCTGTCCCTCAGCTCTTCAGCTCAAGGCTAGCACTCTACCACTGGAGCCACAGCGCCACTTCCGGCTTTTTTCATTTTGCTTATGTGGTGCTGAGGAATTGAACCCAGGGCCTCAGGCATGCAAGGCACGGGCTCTACCACTGAGCCATCTTCCCAGCCCGTCCATAAGACTCTTATCTCCAATAAAACCACCAGAAAACGGGAAGTGGTCCTGTGGCTCAAGTGTTAGAGCACTTGCCTTGAGCTGAAGAGCTCATAGTCAGCACTCCCAGAGTTCACGCCCCATGACTGACCAAAATCTAACGAACCAACCAAACAAAAAAAGATGTAAAACTCCTCAACCAAATAGTAGCATACCAAATCCAACATCACACTGAAAAGATCACACTCCATGACCAAGTGACATTTATCCCAGGGAAGCAAGATAACTCAATAAATCAAAATCAATAATATTATGCACCATTATTTACAGAAGACTACAAATCACATAACCATTTTAAAGCTGCCCCTAATAAAGGTAAAATTCAAGTGTTTCATGATTAGAATTACCTCGACATAATTAGGGTCATATATAAAAATCCTATTATTAGGCCATGCACAGTGGTGCATACCTGTTATTCTAGCTGTCCAGTAGGGTTAGATCCGAAGGATTATGGTTTGAGGCCAGCCTGGACTAGACTCAAGGTCTCCCTTGTTGGGCAGATGTTCTTCCTGAGCACTGGGGTTCCTTTCTGGGGTGTCATTTTACTTGTCTACACTCTCCATGTCATGTGTTTTCAAGCACAGTTTATTTTATTTTTTGGGGTCTGGTCGTGGGGCCTGAACTTTGGGCCTGGGCGCTGTCCCTCAGCTCTTCAGCTCAAGGCTAGCGCTCTACCACTTGAGCCACAGCACCACTTCTGGCTTTTTTCTTATGTGGTGCTGAAGAATCGAACTCAGGGCCTCAGGCATGCAAGGCAAGCGCTCTACCACTGAGCCACCTTCCCAGCCCCTCAAGCACAGTTTAAAAACTAGGAACCAGCCTTTGAAAGAGGGGAGGCTCAAAACCATAGTCCTGCTTTTGAATTATTAACATCTGAAAGCTCAACCTAGATTGTGGAACTGGGAATTCTGGTTGGCTGTGACCAGGCAGACTTATTAATACTTCCTCAGCAAAAACCAACCAACCAACACGCGCTGGGGGCTTGGAGTAATGGTGTCCAGAAAGTGAAGGAGCCCTTTGGAGGACAGTTCAGATAAAGGAGCGCGGGCAGGCAGCTTGCTTTTCTGTCGTGCTTTAAACGGGCTCCACCCACACTCTTCAGTTCGTAAAGGACGAGAAGAGGACACAGTGGGGTGGGGTGAAACTCCATGGGACCAAAGGAGACTTCCAGCAGAGAAGCAGCCAGGGTGGACCATCCCGACTCTGAGAAGGGGAAACAGGAAGAGATCTGGAATAAAGGATTGTACTTCATTTCCCTTTTAAGGAAAAGCTGGGACTCTTTCACTGCGCCTGGTGAAAACTTCAGGGGGAGTCTGCAATCCTGCGCGAGGCTGATTAGTTGGAGTCTTCCCAGCGCGGCGAGCTGATTGGTTCTCCGGGGCTCCGGCCCGGCCAGTGGCTCTGTCGGGGGTGTGGCCCGACGCCCGCCTGGGTAATTAATTCAGTCTCCAGTTGTTGCTCGGAGACTTGTGTAAGTTTGCGGTGTTGCCCGTATCCTGAGCCATGGCGCTCGCCATCTTCATCCTTCAGCTGGTCGTCTACATCGTGACCTTCCCCATGTACTTCCTGCACTTTCTGGGCTTGTGGAGCTGGATATGCAAAAGATGGTTTCCCTACTTCTTGTCGCGGTTCTCGGTGATGTACAACACGCAGATGGCCAGCCGGAAGCAGGAGCTGTTTGGCCACCTGCAGGAGTTTGCGGGGCCCTCGGGGAAGCTGTCCCTGCTGGAGCTGGGCTGCGGCACGGGAACCAACTTCAAGTTCTACCCGCCCGGGTGCAGGGTGACCTGTATCGACCCCAACCCCAACTTCGAGCGGTTCTTGTTCAAGAGCCTTGCTGAGAACCGCCACCTGCAGTTCGAGCGCTTCGTGGTGGCGGCCGGGGAGGACATGCGGGAGGTGGCCGACGGCTCGGTGGACGTGGTGGTCTGCACCCTGGTGCTGTGCTCCGTGCGCAACCCCGAGCAGATTCTCCGAGAGGTGCACAGAGTGCTGCGGCCGGTGAGTGAAACGGGCGAGGCGGGCTGGGAATCAGCTGCCTTTGTGGCAGCCGGAGTCCAGGAGGAGAGGCTGGAGCACTAATCAAAGCTGAAGAATGAAAGCAGGGACTGTAAGCATTCACACACGGGAGAGGAACACGAAGGCGCAGCACTGTGTGCATGCATCTGATCATGCAAAAGAATATTTACTGAAATGAACTCCCGGAAAGGGACACTAGAGGTTTTTTCTTTGGGGCTGTTTATGTTTTCTTCCTCTTGTCTGTTCATTTCTCTGTCTCTGAGAGGGCACGGGGGGGGGGCACACAAATGGAAGGACAAAGGGTGAACAAATGCAGAAGTGGTATTTACTAGACACTATGTGGAAAATGAATTGTACAAGTTATGGAAGGCAAAAACAGAGAGCAAGGGAAGGGCTGACATTGTCCAAAAATAAATGAACTCTTTATCTGACTTATGTAACCCCTCTGTAAATCACCTTTATAACAAACAAACAAACAAAAAAGATAAAAACAGTCGGGTGCCAGGGGCTCCTTCCTGTTAATCCTAGCCTTCACAGGAGGCTGAGACCTGAGGATCCACAATGGAGGCTAGCTTGGGCAGGAAAGTCCATGAATCTCTTTTGTCTCCTATTAACCAGCATGGAACCAGCTATGGCTCAAATAGTAGAGCCCTAGCCTTAACAAAAAAGCCCAGGGACAGTGCCTAGGCTTTGAGTTCAAGCTTTTGCACTGGCACAAAAATAAGGGGTTGGGAAGGTGGCTCAGTGGTAGAGTGCCTGCCTTGCATACATGAGGCCCTGGGTTCCATTTCTCAGCACCACATGAGCAGAAAAAGCAGGATGTGGTGCTGTGGCTCAAGTGGTAGAGCACTAACTAGCCTTGAGCTGAAGAGCTGAGGGACAGACCCAGGCCCAGACTTCAGGCCCCACGACTGACAAAAATAAATAAATAAAATAAAATAAAAACTTGATACAGTGTTTGATAAAGATGATAGACAAAAGGTTAATTCTCCTTGTGCTAATGATTACTAATCAATAAAATTGCTGACGTGTGTGTGTGTGTGTGTGTGTGTGTGTATGTGTTGGTCCTGCCCAGTCTGGCTATGAACTGTGATCCTCAGATCTCAGCCTCCTGAGTAGCTAGGATTACAGGCGTGAGCTCCCAACACCTGGATAGAGTGACAGTTTAAAAAATATCAGTAAGAAAAACAAGATAATCAACATGTAGAAACCAAAATACAAATATAACCAGTTATACAAAAAAGTGCTCAGATTTCCAGCTAAAGAATGTACTTTAAGGTACCAGTTTTACCTATTCACTCACTGTTAATATGGTGTGGGAATGGATTTGGGAAACTGAACATCCTGTATACTGGAGGAGGTACCTTCTGAAGGGTCATTTAATACCATCAAAGCTTCAGGTATACATTGGATATGTACATACATATCCAATAAAAACTTATCCAACAGCCATAAATGTGTAAACTGTGTCCTTATGTCAACATATTTGTTAAACTAGTATTTACATTAGTACACACGGTCAACAGGAGGTTGTCTAATTGCCCCTAGTACAAATTCCTTGCAGCTATTTAAAAACAAGAGAGGCCTATGTTAATGTGAAAAAGTCCCCTAGAGCAAAGTTAAACCAAAAGGAGCTATAGGAGCACAGAATGTAGGGAGAGAAGTCCTTTGGATGGGGGGAGGGACAAGGGTGGGAAGATATACATATTTGCATATATGTTAATAAGAATAACAGACAAATATTAACAGTATTATTCTTTTCAATAGGACTGGTTGTATGTGAAAAATAACTTTTCATTTTATGTCTTTCTGTAAAGTCTGAAATTCTTTTTTTT